GTGCCTCGGGCCGTCGCCAAAGTCGGGGTGCGTACTTTATTTGAGATTTTCCCCCGACAAATCCGTGGACGACCCAGGAATATAGCGGAACACCGGCACGGGGAGCTTGGAACGAATTCGTCCCTAGCATGTTTAGATAACAATATGGACGAGTGGAAATAAAGTTAACCTTCAATAAATGAACATATTTCCTCTGACTATCGTCGATATTTACACCAAGTTCCGGTAAAAGAAGTCAAGTCAAGCAGTGCACGGTAAGAAAATGTAGGTCACTGAATGGCGTTTGGCGCTTTGTCATGCCGACCGGATCGTTCGTCAGCCTGTCGGTGCCAATCTCAGTGGACCCCCGCCGAAAATTAAAAAAAAACAAGGCTGAGGCAATAAAAATCATTGCCAAGGCGACGACTGAATGATATATACTATTTCATGTGGTGGAGCTAGCAATCTACATTACAATTATCAGAAAAACATATTTCCCTATGTTATAAAGACATGCACGTAGTGAAATTTACAGGATGGGTGGAGGAGGTGTGGGGCAATATACCAAATACACGTATAAGAGGAATCAGCCGTTCTTCTCCAGCAATATAGATTTTATGATGACATACATGTACTTACTTACTTTACTTTGGTCGACTTCCCGCTAGAACCAAACTGAAAACCATCCTCCACTTCACTCTATCCTCCACCAGAGACTGGATTTTATGTCTGGTCTGAAGTTGTTACTCCTTTGACTTTTTTTTACCTTTTGTGGGTTCCAAAAGGACGGATAATTTCTTTTCTCTCTGTGACCTGTTTGAATATGGTCTTTGGCCAAAGACAGCTGTGCTGTCTGTCCATGGTGTGGGGAGAAGACGGATGACCACTAATTAATCATGCCAGGCAGCTGTAAGTTACCTGCTTGATCCAAAAGCCACATGGCCGAAGGTTTCCTCCAAACCAATTCCCTGGGGAATGCATTCGTGCAATTTTTGAAATTCTTTCAAAGCGATCGTAGTACTTACACAAATGCCTCCGCCCCAAAGGCGTTGCCAAAAAACGTAAGTACATATACAATATTGCAAGATGGTTTATGAGTAAGTAATATTTGAAATGATCCGCAAGCCATGAACGTTCTTGATCGTCGTAACGTAACATATGATAGCGTAATAGTTGTACCTGATGGTCACTTCTAATGCACTTCCGGCTTGAGTTGAACTCAGAAATATTCAACAAAGATTATGCCCATGCCGTTTCAAAGGTTTAGCTAACTAACAGAAATTGTTAGCCATGTTTCATTTCGTATCACAAATCTTTTTTAATCTTGATAAATGCCACTTTGTAGCGGGCTATAGCTGCCATGCACGACGTGAAAATGCCAGCTAGATGTACTTCTACCCGGCTGTTGCAAACTACAATGATAGGGGCGGAGTTATAAAATGTAGTCTTTAATGAAATCTTACCGCCGGCCGGTGGGCGGGTCCAGTCTGTACGCGCCGACAGGCGTGGCGCCAGTGTTCGTGCCGTTGCCTTGGCATTGCATGAAGTAGCCCAACTAGACCGGGAAGCCACGTGCACGTACTTAAGTGTGATCGGCGTGAATAAGGGCGTAAATAAACTTTGAATCATGCAACGTCCGTTCTCTTGTTCCAGCCGAACTCTAATTCCCCAAAGTACACCTACAACTGAAAAACGAAGAGAGGGTCGTGGCAGCGCTGAGGACAGCTTTCCAGAACCTGGGCCCCGAAAAGGAAGTATTTCTTTCCTCTGAACAGACTGTAACGTTACATATAAGTTTTACGGAGTGCAAACTTATACATATTTGAAGTGTACATCTCTTTGATTTTGTGACAAAAACATATCTCACATTACGAGAGATTATTTCAAACGCAGTCAGACATTTCACTCTCTCCTGTTCGGAATCGCAAGTCCCAGTAGCCTTTTGTTGTTGCTTTAGTTTCGGTGTCAAATTTTTAATTTAGTAGCACTTCTACACCCACAGTAGCATCACTACTCCGCCCAGATCTCCGCCTCGACGATTGTTTGCTCCCGTTGGGTCGATGGGCGGGCGCTATTAAAGAAGTGTTCGGTGCATTTCGTACAGTAAAGAACAACAAAGCTACGTACTTCTGCATCAACATTCAGCTACCCCCGGTTACAGATAAAACAAATATTGGAATATTGTTTTTTTTCACAAATCTTTGTTGGCCGTTGCTTGATCACCAACATTCTCCGGGATCCAAAGCTGTACGTTTCGCCGCACTCGTCTTATCCTTCGATGCGGTGGTGACGTCTTGCAAATCGGCTGCGGCCAGCGGTGAAACTAGCCCCAACACCAAACGTTTCCCGCTACAATACTGTAACCAGTACCACACAACCCCGTAGTACACGGCCTAATTCTATTTTTAAACAGCTTTTTTTCTAGAACGAACTGTCTTTTATTAATAAGACATCATGACATACAGGTCCACAGTGGCACCGGCCGTGCGTACAAGGAGTGCGTATTTTATTCGAGTTTTTCCATTTTACGTTTCAGACGGGAATATTTGTCTCCAACCAGCCCCAAATCGGGGTGTGCGTACTTTAATCGGGATGTGTACTATATTCGGGAAATTACGGGTACCTGTAGGGGAGGGCCATGGAAATTTTTGAGATGAGGGGGGAGGGCCAAGGAAAAATTTTGAAATTGGGGGTCAGGGTCATGGAAAAAGTTTTGACCGGACTTCCAGCGCACCAGCCCTCCTCCCGGTAAATATCGTACAGTCCCTTACCGTGCCTGTACCTAATTAGGCGCGCCTGGAACAGGCCAAATTCCAGCAACAGTTGCGGTAAGCACCGCGAGTGTTACTACCGCCGGCCAGATAACCAGGATATCTGCTTACAGAACCTCTGCTTCCAGACAACTGCCTAAACCTACGGCC